TTTGAAAGGAGTATGCAAAGAAAACTCAGCAGGGCTACTGGGTTCTCTAGGTGCTGCGTGATCTCCAAGGTCGGTGAGGCCTTTAGGGTGGGATTTAGGAACCATATGTAGGCCCCAACGTTTGAAAATAGGTTTCTTAATACTACCTCAAACAGGTGACATTTAAGATGACATAAAAAACAAAACTTTCTATACAAAGAGAACAGCCTAAGGTCCACAGAAAAAGCGCTCCGGTAATGTACCGTCTTATTGGCTTTGTTCCTTTGTAAAGCAAGAGGGCAGAAAAATTATTCTCTAATTCACAACTGTATCATCATTAGCAATGTTCAATGCATTTTTCCTTTCCTTTCATTTCAATTTGAGAAGGCCGGAGATCCTATTTAAAGATTTTGTTTTAAAAGTAGATTAAATTTTTTATAACTAGTGTAAAAAACCAACCTACTGTGTACGCACTGAGCACTGTTTCCTTGTGTAGTCTGTCATTTTCCTTTGTTAGTTTTCTGAGTCTTTCACAAAGCAAGAGTAGAAGAAAAACCCTTTTTAAAGAAAGTAGAGCAATATGATTGTAAATGCACAAAAAATTGGTTGTTGAACTCAGGAACCAGGATCGTATATAAAATTATAGTGGGTTTATTTTTTTTAAAACTCACTAATGTTAAGTTGACACTGTTCTTTTTAATTGACCCAAGTTTGGGGGTGTCTAACACTTCCCTTGGGAGACTATTCATAGCCTAGTAAGTCTCGATGCCAGGAGTTTTTTCCTTCATGTTCAGCTTTAATTTTCTTCTATTTCATCCCTTCATCCTTAGTTGTACCCTATCAACTAATTTATTTTCTTCATTGTTTATATCCTTCACCTATCGGTAAACTTATCATTATGTCATCATTGTGATAAGTACTTAAACACCAAGATTAAATGAACTTTATATAGATTATGTCTCAATTTTACTTATTGCTTAGCCAACGTGTACATAGCAAGCTCTTTCCACCCCTTTCCTTATGTGTCAATCCCTTTCCCTGCTAGTCATAGACCTAAGTTGATATATTGCTCTGTGTGAATATTCTTTGTGGTCCTTCTGCTAGTTTCTATATTTAAGCCAATCAGAATTTATTTTGAAAGATCCTGAGACATACTACTGGGCCTAATTCACCATGTGCTTTACCCCCTCCCTCCTTTTCCCCCCTCAGTATAATTCCATTGATTTCAGTAGGAGTAACCCAATGGTGAAGCAGGTCTATTGGTCAATGGTGGCAGATGACAGAACAAGGAGCAATGGTCTCAAGTTGCAGTGGGGGAGGTCTAGGTTGGATATTAGGAAACACTATTTCACTAGGAGGGTGGTGAAGCACTGGAATGCGTTACCTAGGGAGGTGGTGGAGTCTCCTTCCTTGGAGGTTTTTAAGGCCCGGCTTGACAAAGCCCTGGCTGGGATGATTTAGTTGGGAATTGGTCCTGCTTTGAGCAGGGGGTTGGACTAGATGACCTCCTGAGGTCCCTTCCAACCCTGATATTCTATTGTATGTATGTAACATTTTACTAAAAGCCAAATATGCATTACATGATTTTTAACTTGCAGTTCATCATTCTCCTCATTTTCCTTGAGAACAGAAGCCATCTTGTATTTCTTACATGTGTAAACCTTGTGGTCTTCACTCACAAGCAGAATCATAACGTGTGCGCCACATCAGCCTGCCATGAATCCTTCAGTAGTCATTTATCCTAGCCCCTGTTGCTTCTTATTTCAGAATCTCTCTCCCACTCCTCTTCTGTAATTCTTGCTTATCTGGCCTTTCATATTTGAGTTAGCTCCATCTTCTCCATGATGGAAACAATCAAGCAGCAACATGTCATATCAACAGCTGCCTCTTTCCCTATTTAAATACACCATTTCCACATGAGTAATTACTGTAATTTAATTTAGGAAATATTAAGAAAAGAAAGAAAGGAATTTGGATTGATGGCCATAGAGTATACCATAACATCTAATGAAAGTACATTTGATAATTTTTTCCCCTTTTTTCTTTCATTTATTATCAAGACGTACAGAGGATGCTCACACTCTCCTTGGTATAAGTGGCACATATTGTTACTTTCTAATAAAATAGTACCCTAAGAATTAACAAGAGATAACACAGAATAGTTCCTGCAGCAAGAAGCAGCCACTGCAGATCTCTCTGCCACTGGCTGCCCTTTGTATTAGTAAAGTAGGAAATTTCCCGCTGTCCACCTCTTGCTCCTATAGGCCAGTTCATGGACTAACTTGGCCACTGGGTCTGCCAATGCCTGGCCAGCTGGTTTAGACTATACGCTAACACACATTCCTCATAAAGAGAGACACTGAGTTGCCCCAGGTCAGAAAAAATGTATGTGTGGTTCTCTGCCTCTCCTCTCAAATCCTTATGCTCAGAAGGGTCAGAGGAGAACCCCTCTCTGCTCATTGGGAAATATCCAACCCTCACCCCAGATCCCACCATTCATGGGGTTCACACCCCCAACTATTTTCCGCTCACACTCCCAGTTCTCTCTCCTTCCACCTTTCTTCTCACCACTCATGGATGGAGAGAACATTGAGACATAAACAATGATTCCAAATAAAATTACCTCTCGTGAGGGTCCAACCAGAATCTCCTTTTCGAAAGGCACCCTCCAACAGGATACCCACTGTGTTGTACCACAACAGTACCTGTAAGCCTGTCTATTCACAGAAACAACTATGGCAATATATAAGGGCAGGGTGCAGTAAGGTAGAGTTTTGCTGGCCTAGCTACACAATACCAGGCCTGATGTTATTTCCCTGGCCAATACTTCTACTCATGTAGGTTGCCTTTGAGAACAGCATAGGGAACTGATCTGATAGGAGCATCTAAGAAAGAATCTCGTCCTAGACTTTCTTTAAATTCAAGCAGATAGAAAAGTTCTGGCACGGTTTAAGAGGGAGTGGTGTCAACAGTCAGAGCAAGATCTGGGAGATAGGAGTCCTGGGTTCTCCTTTTGGCGCTGTAAACGGGCAAGTACTTAAAAAGTGGCAAAATACCTACTGCAAAGGGGTACTCTCATGTTTAATGTTTATGAAGGACACTGGGATGCTTAGGCAAAAAGATACAAGTGTAAATAATTATTGGTATTAATATTTATTGCAAAGTATTTTATGAGGATTGTTGAATGTAGACGGAATGGTTTTGGCTTCTATGGAAGCTCTGAGAATTAACCCAAGGCAATATCTTCTGAAGACATTGTCAGGTACGGAATATATGGAACTGCATCCCAAGAGCACACTGGTGCTCTAGTTTTCTTCTACGTATTAGCTCATTGACTGGTTTTGTCCATTTCGTTTCTGTATCATTTTGTTGTAAGTCACCTGAGTATGGTCCAGATACAGGAAAAATGTTTAACTGCTGTCCTGAATCAGGGCCTAAGATGATCCCACCTCAGATATAGCATAAAATTCATTTTATATATTCTGAAACTGAAGTTTACTTGGTACTTGTTGGGCATCTTTTCTGTCTGACATGTGTTAGTAATCATTGGAATCTGGTCCAACACTGACGAGAACCATCTAAATGAAACTAAACAGAAGCTGGCCAGTCCTACCATAGAGGGCTCGTTCTTTCTTTCTTGTAGGTATTCTCTCTAGTACTGTGACTTTCAGTGACGCGATATACAATGGTAGAACAAACAGAATGTAGAGCCTGATTCTAAAGCTCCTCTAAGTCAATTAAAAGATTCCCATTCATTTCAGGTCAGATTGAGAGAGACCCTGTGGGGTTTTCTCCTTCCTCTGCAGAGTGGGGCACAGGTTACTTGCTTGTTTGAACTACAGTAAATGGTGGGTTCTCTGACTTAAGTCTTTAAATCATGATTTGAGGACATCAGTAACTCAGCCAGAGGTTACGAGCCTATTACAGGAGAGAGTGGATGAGGTTCTGTGGTCTGTACTGTGCAGGAGGTCAGACTAGATGATCATGATGGTCCCTTCTGACCTTAAAGTGTATGAGTCAATGGCCTTTAGCTCAGGCCCTTGAAAGACGTTTGGATTTGTGGGGGGTTGGGTACAAATACAAATGATGTCAGGGGAAAGTACAGGAGTTATATTTACTCAGAGTGACACAGAAGATAAGTTGAACTAAATCAGTGAATCAGTTTTAAATATTATTATTATTTTTACCCTCCAAGGTGGAAAATACTTACTGACACAGAAGGAACACATTTTCAGTTTATAAATTATCACACAATGGAAAATACAATCTAGTAAAGTTTTAACTCAACCCCACAGATGATGTTTTTCATATTTCTTTGATTGAAAATGAAAGACTCATTTGTATCTATCCTAAAATGCATATATAAAATCAATCAGAAAGCTGAGCTTATTTATTTATTTTTGTAACACTTTATTCTGACTTCTAAGCACCTAAAGTTCTCTTTAGCAGGTTTATCTAATCATGGGAAATTTGGGGAGCTCCTTTTTTATTACAGTGTTTGGATTTTTATTTATGTTTTACTCAAGGGAAGTGGATTTCCTAAAGGAGTTTTACCAGCTGCCACAGAATACCAGGAAACAACTGACCAAACAGTGCATATAAAAAATTTTAACTGAACAAATTAAAAACAATGTTGTCTAATTAAAAAGTACCACTCGGAAATCCAAACATTTGAAAATTCAATTAAAAAAAACCTCTGGCACCCTTCTGACATGGATAAAGTTGGCATTTGCTGCACAGCAGTCTTCTCACCTGTCTCATTGAGATCCCAAGATCCCACGCTGGAAGGATTGTTTTTGTACATAGCAATTTTGTTAATTAAGGTTGAAACACTAACAATAGACCATTGTGTGCATCCAGGCACTTTTTATGAGTGTGTTTTTTTTCTCTCCTTTTTTTAATTTCTCACACATAAAACAAGGTTTAGAGAACATGAGTATCAACCCAGCATTCCAACATATGTTAAGTTTCTTTAATTTGTACCTTTTATTTTGAACCTCGTTCTCCCTTTTCATTTTCAGAACCCACCTCCTCAGTTCCAGAGGATAAGTGCTTCAGTAGCACGTGCCCAGAATGTGGAAACCAAGAGGTGTGAGGTCCAGGGGAGGCATGAGACTGAATACGAGAAAGCTCTGGTATCCATCAAGACCCATCTGAGAGAAGTAGAAGGTCCTGACATCAAGGAAAGTCTTCAGGATCAGATCCGCCAGTGGTTCATTGAGTGCCGGTGAGAAGAAAGAAAATACTTGCACTATAGCAATTGTATTTGCCTTAGAGGGCCTGATTCTGCCAGCATTATTCTGAGTAGCATCTTTAGTTCCAATTGGACTACTCATAGAGGAAGGACTACTTGGGTAAGTAAGGATCACAGAATCTCACAGGCAGAGAGATTAAAATTCAGGACACGTTTAAACTCCACTTTAGTTTGTGTCCTAGCTTTGTGTCTACATCTGAATACTTACAAGCTGTGAGGTAATGCTTCCTGTTCGAATGTATAGGGGATGAGAGGAATCGTCAAGCCTCCCATCAGACAAAGGAATTGGGATTTGCCATAGTGGATCAAATAACTGGTACTTAGGTCCCTTTTCCTGCCACTGGCAGCGTCCAATAGCTAGTGTGAATATCCCACATGGGGCCTGATACTCCAAACACTTAAGCACATATATAATTTTACTTGTGTGTATTCCTATTGACTTCAGTGGAACTTAGCACGTGAGTAAAGTTAAGCACCTACATAAATGTGTACAAGCTCAGACCACTGATACATATGGACTTCTGAGCAAGTTCACCTTAGGCAAGTTTTCTTTAGTTGATGAAATTCTAGATGTTCAGCTCTAACATGGTATTATTGTTGTGAAGTAGCATAATAAGGAAATACAGATTGCTTGCAAAATACTACTAATCTCCAGTACCAATCTTTGAGATCTGTTAACTAAAAGAAAATTGAGATTCAGATGGCAAATCCAGGGATTTATCAGTTGAGTGTCAACTGCTTCGCACACCTGTTCATGATTACGGTGTGTTTTGCCGTTTTGGCTGTTTGCCCAATTTACATGACAGATGATAGTTTGACTTCAGGAACTGTGTCATCTACATTCCTGGTTCATATTTTGCTTTTTCGGTTGTACCTCCCTACAATATGCCTTCATGTGGTACTCAACTGTCACAAATACAGGCAGTCCTCGACTTTACAACATTCGAGTTACAACAAACGGCACTTACGATGCTTCTACATTGACACCCTGATTCAACTTATGACTATAGGTTTCGAGTTTACAACGCTCGGTCCCACAATGGAGTAGATCGCAGTACTGAGTTATGATGCAATTGTAAGGAACCAATTGTGTCATAAGTCCAAGGACTGACTGTATATTGATATCACCAGTGAGTCTTCATGTGTTTCTAAGATACACATTCTGCTAAATCCTGCTCTGCTTGTGTCTACGTGCTCCACGACTTCCTTTAGTTTCTGTTTAGTACATAACACTAAGTGTGCGTACGAATTGTTGAAAGCCTGGAAGTTGTAGATAACTGGTGCCAATGATCATTGCATTATAGTGTTGAGCAGTTTTTCCACCCTTACTTACAATCAGTAGTATCTTTGAGAACAATGGGGCTGCTGGTGGATTACTCGCTGAGTGCAAGAATGGCAGCGTCTGACCATAAGAATCTGCAAGAGTGAAGGCAACAATATTCAGATGATAGTCTTCAAAAAGACAGACCTAAAAAACTTGAGGTAGAGAGTATGTGGAATATGAGCAGTGAAACTAAATTTAAAATCTTCCAGGTTTTCCAGGACGTTATTTTCTGCTGTACACTGAACATTATCTCAGCAAAATAAAGTGATAAGGGCCTGGTCCTAAGCCCATGGAAGCTATGGTGAAATTTTACATTGACTTCAATAGGCACAGGAGAGGCCCTAAAAGACCTTTGTATGTGTGTACGTACTTGCTGAGTTTTAAAGATCTGAAAATGAAAAGGGAATAACATTAAATATAGGAAAAGAAATTATAGCAGTCATTAAGGGGTCCCATCATTAAACAGGGTTGAGATGCACGGTGGGGCTAGGGTGGTGGGGTTAGGGACTTCTACCCTGCAGGAGGCACCTGCCAGGGCTCGGGGCTTCAGCAGGAGTGGGGTGGAAGTGACCCACTTGTAGCATTACTTATTAGCCAATTGAATGCAACGTGTGAAGAGTTATGGGGAAAGAGCGTTCTGTAAAACTTCCAGTGAAGAATTTGCATATTAACCACAAAGTGAGTCTTTAGTCAGTGAATTGGATACATTTTTAAACTGTTCTGTTGCAACTGAAAGTACCAATGATAGTAGGAATTCATCACAACCTGAGAAGAAAAGTAGACATAGGCATGACCCTGCTTACTTAAAGTTTGGGTTTTCATTTACTGAGGACCAAAATGATGAACACAGGCTGCAGTGTGTCATCTGCAGTAAACTTAGCAAATGAAACCCTAAAACCATCAAAGTTACATAGCCATTTGGAGACAAAGCACTCTAGCTATAAAGACAAGCCTCTTGATTTATTTAAACAAAAAAGCAAAGGTTTGGAAACATCACAAAAAACACTTGAATGTGTATCTACTGCCCGGTAGCAAGCATTGCATGCCTCTTACCTTCTTGTATACCACATTGCAAAATGTAAAAAAGCTCATACCGTCACTGAGGAGTTAATTTTACCTTCTGCTATTGACATGTGCTCTGAAATGTTGGGTGAGTCAGCTGCAAAAAAATTAAAAACAATCCCTCTTTCCGACAACACAATACAGAGAAGAATTTGTGATGTCTTAGAAGACATCAAACTGCAAACAACTGATCATCTTTCAGTAAGCAACTGTTTTCTTTTACAATTAAATGAATCTACAGATCTCTCAAACCGTGCTATCTTGGTGGTTTATGTGAGGCATGTATGGGAAAGTGATTTTCAAGAACAGTTCTTGTTTAGGGCGGATTTGCCTATTTCTACTACTGCTGCTGATATATTTGTTACACTAGATAATTACTTGGAGTCAGTGGGTTTGAGCTGGTTGAAGTGTGTTGGTATTACAACTGATGGAGCCGCTTCAATGACAGACAGGGAAACATTCAGGAGCTGTTCAAAGAATCCTTTTGAAAGCATCCAATGAAATGTGGGACCACAGTTTCCTGCACAGGGAGGCCTGAGCAGCTAAAGACATGTACCTGAGCATCACTAAACTCTTAAAGATGTTGTCAAAATGGTGAGTTACAGCAAACAAAATGCCAAGAATTCACGATGCTTGCAAGTTTTCGGTCAGGAAATGGGCAGTGCACATGTACATCTGCTTTACCACGCTGAGGTTCATTGGCTATCCTGTGGCAAAATGTTGTCTCGTGTATACGAAAGTAAAAGTGAGTTGGCAGCTTTTCTTGAAGAAAAAAAGTCTCACCTGGCAGAGCACTTCAGTAACAACACATGGCTCGCTCAAATTGCATATCTGGGAGATATATTCAAGCAGCTGAACGATTTGAATCTGTCTTTACAGGGCAGAGGGCACAATTGCTTTGAGTAGACTGACAGAATTGCTGCATTCAAAAATACCCCTCTCTCTGTGGAACAAACATGCTTCAAATGATAGGATGGACATGTTTCATAACGCGTCTCTAGAAACAAAAAAAATGGAAATATTCTGCTAGCCAAGAAGCCCTGAAGAAAATTATCAGTCATCGTTTAACTAAGTTGCACACAAGATTCTGTGATTACTTTCCAGACGAGCAACTGAAGGGTGAAGAATGGATACAGGGTCCATTTGGAGTTGTGTTGGAAAACATGAGTCTACCTATGAAGCAAGAATCTCAGCTGGTCGAGTGATCTTGTGATCGCAGTCTACAAAGAAAATATACTGAAATGAACCTTCCCCAATTTTGGTGCAGTGCTGCTGGAGAATAGCCTTCTCTTGCTTGCCATGCTGTTGGAATCATTTTGCCTTTCAGTACAACATACTTGTAGAAAACTGGATTCTCTGCCTTGACTCAACTGAAGAATAAAAGCAGGAACAGACCGGATGTTGAACAGAACCTTCAGATTGCGCTGACTACAATTACGCCAAACTTTGATAAACTCAAAGAGAAGCAAACTCAGGTTTCTCATAAAGTGGAACCTAGGATTTATTATACTGTTGTTAATGTGTTCCTCTTGATGTTGATTTCTGCTTTTAGCTTTCTGACTGTTGAGCTGCTTTAACTTAGTATCATTTTTGTTGTTGTTATTACATGTAGTGGGGGCAAAATACTTGTGTGTTTTCTACTTAAGCTATTTACTGGGGCAGGTCTGGCCATCAGTGTTTATAAATGGGTTCTGGTCCAAAAAGGGTTGAGAACCTGTGCCCTAAAGGACATATAAAGCTTGCATATTATAGCAGCTACTATCATCTTTTTGAACCTAAGACTATATCTCATTTGCATGTGTATGTTTACCTGCTTTAACCTTGTAAATAATTCTCATTTCTTTTTCCTAGTTAATAAACCTTTAGTTAGTTTATTATAGGATTGGCTACAAGCATTTGGTGAGAGATCTAGGGTGCACTTGACCTGGATTTTTGGTGTCAGGGACCATCTATCACTAAGTCCAGCTTGCCTCAGTGGGAAGATAGACTGGAGTGCCCAAGGGGACTGTCTGTGACTCCATGTTAAGGCTGTTATTATGTTTGAGGAGTTCACATTTGATACTTGGTTGATGAAATCGAAGTATAGAATACACAACCAGTTTGGGGTTCGTGCCCTGTTTCCTGACAGTCTGCCCTGAGGTTGGCACTCACAGTCATGAGCCACTCCAGATATCTTGAAAGTGACACAAGTCGTAATGAATTATCTGCCCTCTCTGTGGGAGGCTTCATGTAACTGACCAAAACAAGCTTCCCACAGACATATTCATTTCCATCTGAATAGGTAAGAAGAGAATCTGCAGATTTCTAAACATGGAAGGGGTATGTAACATGTAGAACTAACCTGTCCGCATGATGCATGAGGAACCTTCTAATACTAGAAGAATTTCTGTGTCCTCTTCCCTGCATGCCTCACTGAACAGAGGCTGAACATTTGAAGTGCCAAGCTTTACATTTCTTATTACATGCCAGGATATATTTTTAATTGCCTTAAAATTAAGAAACAAAATAAACTTTTAAATGTTGCTTATAAATTGTCCTTTAACTACAACTTTTGCTTGATTTTATGATCTTCTGTGGTCTATTAAAA